ATGCTACAAACCTTAATGAATAAATGGATTTAGGCTTTAAGCAACAAATGACTACTAATAGCACAGAGAGACAAGTAAACATTATGTGCCTTTTGCTAAGAGGATACAAAAATTGTCTATGTACTAGTCTTACCAAAACACTCCTATCTGAACCTGATCAAATCAACTACAAATATAATGACACAAACACAAGCCAGGCATTGGGGACATGAAGGCGAGGAGGAGCAGTTCAAGGTTCTCCTCACTATTCAGAGTTAGCAGCCAATCTGGGCTGCATGAGACCTTGTCTGAAGACAATAACAAAAAAGAAAATAAAGTACAGGGGCTGGCAAAATAGCTCAGCGGGGAAAGGCAGCTGCCATGGAAGCCTGCTGACCTGAGTTTGAGTCCTCAGAACTTGTAAAGGTAGGAGAGAACTGATTCCACAAAGTTGTCTTCTGACCTCCACAAGTGCCACATGGCATGTATGCCCACAAGCATGTGTCATGTACACACACCATAATAATAAACCTTCAAAATATTTTAAGAAAATATAGTACTGAGAATATGGTAATCTAGATCATTGGAGAGACAACAAAACTCAGACTCAGAGAAAATGCTAAAGGTCAAATCTCCCAGTTTCTTCAGTAAGCTAGTTGTAAGAGAGAAATAGCTGGAAAGGGGTTGGGAGTGTGGCTCAGTGCTATCTACAGAGCTAACCCAGCACACAGGAAGCATGGGCTCCATCCTCAGCACTGAGATTAAAAAAAAAAAGAATGGCCAATGTGGCGGTGCACGCCTTTGATCCCAGCACTTGGAAGGCAGAGGTAGAGGCAGGTCGATCTCTGAGTTTGAGGCCAGTCTGGTCTACAGGGTGTGGTCCAGACAGTCGGGGTTACATAGCAAGACCCTGTCTCAAAAATAGAGTCGGAGCTTAAGGGAAGAAAGATGAAAATGTATTAGCCAATTGGGTAAGTGTAGGGGTGGTCAGAAGGCAAGGGGCATTGCCCTGATTTTTTAAACATATTTTAATTTAAAAATTAGATCTAAGCTGAAGACATGGCTTAGCAGTTAAGAGCACTGTCTGCTCTTGCAGAAGACCTGAGATTGATTCCCGGTTCCCATGTGGCAGTTTACAACTGCCTGTCATTCTAGTTCCAGAAGGGTCTGATACCCTCTCCTGTCTCCACAGGCACCAGACAGTCACATGGCACACAGACATACATCTAGGCACTCACCTATACACATAAAAAAATTTAAGTCAATCTTTTACAAATTAGATCCACATGTATGGGTATTGGAAGATGTCCAAATTCTATAGTAATTTTTAAAATAAAAATAAGAACAGTATGTTTGGTATGCTCAAATTTTCATTTAATAAAATAAATAAAACTATTCATATTGGAGTTATGCAAAGAGACTGCATATAATTATGCAGCAATCAACAGAGCTATTCTCAGGGCTGCCGTTACAGAGGAGTTCTCTGTCAAGTGTCACTTGCTATAATGCCTATTTGAAATCTAATGAGCATGCTTTACTTTTGTAATTAGCAAAAATGCCAAAGGAAAGACAGATGGAGCAAGATGAGAGAGGGAGGGGGTGGAAGGAAGAGAAAGAAAGTTTCTTAGCTCTTAAGAACCCTTCAAATTAACAGGCAGGTGTGGCGGTACACAGCTTTATTCCAGCACTCGGAAGGCAGAGGCAGGTGGACCTCTGAGAGCTGAAGGTCAGTCTGGTCTAAAGAGTGAGTTCTATGACAGCCAGGTATACATTAGAGAAACGTTGTCTCAAAAAAACAAAAAGAATAACAACAACAACAACAAAAAGAACGCTTCAGGTTGTAACTGAGGTATTCTCTTAGTGTAGTCACAATTAAATAATGGGTAAATAGTAAGATAAAGTGACCCTCAGAGTATTTTGTATCTATGCTTAAAATCCATAGTTTTAACTGTTACCATTAAAATATACAACCTGAGCTGGGGACTGCTGTCCTGTGCTCCTTTAATATAGGAACTCCCTGGGGCTCGATCTTGACACTACAAATACTCTAAAACCACTAAAATTCACATAGTCTTCACACATGGATTCTTGATGGGGCAGGGATGGGGGCCAGTACTTAAAAACCAAGCCACTGCTTCAAGTTTTGGCAATTCTTCTCTTTACCTTTGATGCTCTGAGACAGGCAGCACCCTTAGCTTTCAGTTTATCCTCTGTGCCAGGGGCTCTCCAGTGTCTAGTCCTCAAATCAGCAAAAACAAAGTCTTAGGCCCCAAACAGATCTACCAAAGTCAGAATTTCTCTTTTGATAAGCTCTCTAGCAGGATTGCCCGATAAAATACAGGACACCCAGTTAAGTTTGAAATTCAGATTAGTGGTGAATGAATATCTACCAAAAATGTTTGTAGTATTTGGAACACACTTATATTCAAATTTAATAGAACATTCTGGCTTTTTTTTAGGGGGTGTGGTTGTTTTTCTCAATCTAGCAACGTGTCTTCCAGAGTACTGTGACCGTGTTTGAGGACTAGGGTAGAGGGAAGACAACAGGCTTGCAGACAGACACGACTACACTCCGTTTGCTAATAGGCAGATGGAATTCCACAAATGTGATTGTCATCTCCTTGACACAGAGAAGACCCATGACAAAGAAGCAGAGATGTGGGGACAGAACCAGACAGCCTCAGGGCCTAGGGTAAAGTTTAGGAGCAGAAGGGACCTGGATCTTACCAGAAAATACAAACCTACTGAGTGCCTTCAGCTCCAGACCTCACAAAGTCTCTACACCAAGACAAACATGGATGGTCTAGAAGGAAGGGCTAGGGTAGACTTTGGCAGTGGAGAGACACCCAAGAAAGGGTAAAATATGTTTTAAGTTTTTGCTTGTTTATTCATTTGTTCCAGTCAGGGTCTTGATATGAACCCAAACTAGCTTTGAGCACATCATGTAGTGCATGCTAGCCTTGAACTCTAGATCGTGCTGTTTCTACCTCCCAAGAGCTACTATTACAAGTGTGTATCAGAACACGTTTGGAAAACAGAACTTTTTACTAGAGTAAGAAAACTATACAAGGCACAGGAAAAATGCTGACTTAAAATTGGCCAAGGTCAGCTTGGGTGGTGGTGCCTTTAAACCCAGCACTCTTGAGGCAGAGGCAGATGTATCTCTGTGAATTTGTGGCCAGCCTGGTCTACAGAGTGAGTTCCAGGACAGCCAGGACTGTTACACAGAGAAACCCTGTCTCAAATAAATAAATAAATAAATAAATAAATAAATAAATAAATAAATGCAGGAAAAAATGGCCAAGGTCAGTTGATGCCATGACAATCACTGAGTCTATGGGTAAAAATCTGCAGAGACACCCCCTTCGTGGGTAGAGAGGCTCCTGGCCAGTCCTGTCCTTGTGGTGTCAATGTCTAAGGCAGCAGCAGTTTCCAATTAAGAGAGATTTTAACCCCTGGATATGTCTGGAGACATTTTGGGTTGTCAAATCATGGAGTGGGCATCTTAGAGACACCCTGAGATACTGCTCAACATCACCCACAGCCCCAGACAAAGAATTATCCAGTTCCAAAAGCCAGGTTCCAAGTCCCGGAAACTACTCTAAAGCACGTTAACAGGGACAAAGAGCTGCCTTCTTCCCCACTGCATCATCTCCTGAATCTCTCACCCCAAGACCTGGGCTGTCCCCTCCCAGGAAGATAAACTATGTATGCACATTCCTGTAAACCAGAAGGGAGAATGAACTCTAAATTTTGAGGTTCTAATCTGCAAACCGTGGGTAAAAATACTTAACTCATAGTGTTGTTACTGAGATTAAATGAACAATTTAACAGTTGAAATTCAAATATTTATTGAGCACCTACGTGTGTGTCAGGCATTCAAAGCCCACACATGTCTTTGCTAGTGAGGACTTTAGCGAGAGTTTTTTTTTTTTTTTTTTTTTTTTTGGTTTTTTTTTTTTTTATTAAGCACACAGCAGATTTCCAAACAGAAGCTGATCTCATTACCCATACTCTTCCTCTCCCTTATTAGACAGAGATCTAATCCTCTTGTTTCCTTCCCAGAGAAGTAGATGAAACAGTAGAATTAATATCTTATTTAGGAGAGCTAACTGAATCTATACTATCACTCTGTGATGTTTTGTTAATGTCTCCTACCATTAGTTCCAAACACAGAACCAAAGATAACATGCCATATTGATTTATTTCATTTGACAGGTCCATATGTATGTATAATGAGTAGTCATTATGTACATGCTATTTTCACCCCCAGGACTCTCTCTCACCCTCCTCCCTCTTAGGTTGAACCCCTTCTTCTTCCTAACATTGCTCTGATTTTTATTTTTATTTTTTTTAACTTACATCTAGGCCAGAGAGATGGCTCAGCAGTCAAGGGCACCAGAGTGTGGTCCCCCCTCCTACTCTCATGTCTTGTGGGGGAGGGGACTGAGTCACACCAATGTCTGTTCTCTCTCTCTCTCTCTCTCTCTCTCTCTCTCTCTGGTTTTTCTAGGTAGTGTAGCTTTGGAGCCGTCCTGCATTGTATTGTTCTTAATCATCAAAAGAAGCTCAGGTCTGGGAGTTGGGCTCAATCACAGAGTGCCTGGCCCCGGTTTGTTTTGTTTTGTTTGTGTAAACAGTGTACCCTCCAGAGAGCTCTCTTATCAAAGCAGGAGCTGCTCTTTCTCCTTTCCTTCTTTTTTTTTTTAAACAAGCCCTGGAAAGTTTTATCAAAGGCAAATACCATTTTTGCATGATTTACCTTTTAGCAATCTGCTCTGGCATATTTCTAATATCAGAATTGCCTAGAAAAAGAAAAACAGCCATTTTACAGTGCACTCTCCTGCAGCTGGTGTTTAAATGTCCCTACAGTGGCTACACAGTCTTTGGTCAAGACAAGGGATTCTATGCAAATGATTGCAGCAGCTGCGGTGTCCCTTTTTTTGAGGCTGCTCAATGATAGCTTAGAATGTTAGCCATCATCATATGATCACAGATGACCATATAATAATTCAGACCTGATTTATCACCAGAATTTATAATAGCACACCTATGGAAACAACTAGGTCTGGGGATCCATCTATGGCTTTAACATAGTTCGCCTGTCTCAATTCCTAGCAGACCTAAAGAGCGAGGATGTTTGCAGTCAGTACTTCAGATGAGTGAAGCCCTTCTCACCCTTGAGGCTTCTGTCTCCTGTCACAGTGTGCAGTGTCTGCCTTCTTAACAGCCCTCACCTCGTCAGCAGCCAAGATTTCCTGGGCCCCATCCTCACACGAGCGTCTTCTCTGGTCAAACCAGGTTCATCAAGCCTATAATTTTCATTCACAGTAAACTCGGCATGTTCATATTTCAATTCCAAATAAGGTCATTTACAGAAGAAAGTCAAGTTGCCAAAAGTGAGGAAATCTGTTCTACTAAGGAAATACAAATAAAACAATAATGCAGTATTTCTCACAAATTTAATGAAAATGGTAATAGCCAGTGTTGATAAAGATTCATGGAAACAGGCACTTTTACACCGTTAACAGAAATATGAGTCTCTGTAGCCCTTAAGAAAAATAATCTGGTAAAGCCCGTTAAAGTTTAAAACACAAACATATATCTCTTACATACTTACCCATACTTACACATACTTGTACCTTAAGCACACATGTACAAATATGTTTGTGGCAACAGGAAACTGAAGGTAAACAATACTATGCTACAAATTGGAGGGATATGAATAACTCAGCCTGCATCACCGAGGAAATGCCCAAATTAATGACAAGTTATTTTTGACCTTGCAATTTATTTCCAGTTTTGCTGCAACCAATACCCTTCCTATTGGTGATTTTCTTTCTATAGCATGTATGTTGAATTGTGGTATCTTCACCTATAATACTGTACACAGTTCTTAGAGAGCCAGCTACAAGACTGCAGATGTGGCTCAGTTGTTAGTGTTTGCAGGAAACCCTGGAGTTGATCCCTAGCATTGTACGAACTGGTGATGCTGGTGCATATCCCAACACTCAGGAGGCAAGGCAGTAGGACCAGGAGTTAAAACTCATTCTTGGCTTCATAGTGAGTTTGAGGCCAACCTGGGTTTCATGAGACCCTGTCTCAAAATCAGAAACAACAATGAGAGGCTGGAAACTTGGGGTCGGTTGGGAAGAGTGCTTGCTGCTCAGTCATGAGGATTTGGATCCTAGCACCCATATGACAAGCCGGGCATCAGCTGCATGCCTGTAATCCCAGCTCTGAGGCAGCCAGAGACAGTAACATTGCTGGGGCTTGCTGAAGTCCAGCCCTAGAACAAAATGTGAATCCTCGATTCAGGGAGAGACCCCACCTCAAAGAAATATGCAGAGTGATAGAAGACAGCATCAGTGTCCTCTTCTCGACTCCAGGAGCACACATTGGCCTACTTTCTGCAAACAAACACATCTATCCACATTCACATAGACACATTTACACATACATAAAATAAGTGATTGAAGGAATCTTTTTAAGTCAATGTCAGGGGCTGGAGAGATGACTCTGTGGTTAAGAACACTTATTGCTCTTACAAAGGACTTGGGTTTGGCTCCCAGCACCCACATGGTGCCTCACAACAGCCTATAACTCCAGTTCCAGAACATCTTGTGCCCTCTTCTGACCTCCACAAGCACCAGGCACACATGGGGTGCACATATATTCTTGTGGGCAGAACACCTATCCACAAAAAAATAAAAATGAGCCATGTGGTCATGCACAACTTTAATCCCAGCCCACAGGAGGCAGAGGTAGGCGGATTTCTGTTTGAGGTTAGCCTGGTCTACAGAGTGAGTTCCAGGATAGCCAGAGCTACTCAGTGAAACCCTGTCTCAAAAATCCCAGTAAAGAAAATAAATATGAATAAATCTAGGCTGGTCATGGTAGTGCTTGCGAGCAGGTATCTGTGAGTTCCAGACCAGCTAGGGCTACATAGAGATACTCTATCTCCAAATAATAAATAAATAAAAATATTCTTAAATAAAGGTTTTATTACAGAGAAACACAAGTCAAGCCACATCACAATGCATCTTCATAAAACAAAAGACAAATCTTGAAGCGACTCAAAGAGAAATACTGCGTCACTTTCAGCGATTCCCCAGTCGGAATGAGAATACATTTCTCATCTGAAGTCATGCAGGACGGAGTGAAGTGGAATATTTTTCAAGTGCAGGAGCAAATGAAGTGTCAGGACACAGTAGAAGAACACATGGTGAACTTCGAATTGTGCTCAAATATAGGAAACTGTACCCTCGAAAAATGAGAAAGGTGGGTGAGATGGGCTAAGAGCAGGCTACAAGAGCTTCCCATGGCCAAACTGAAACAATCTGAGCAAGGAAGGGAAGGGGTGCTAAATCATAAGCCAAAGTAGAAAATACATAGCCATGAGTCCATGCTGACAGAAATAAATGATGGTTGTACTGAACAGACAAATGGGCACACACATGCACGAGGGAGAAGGGACAAATGTTCCACGCTAATAATATCTATAGATACCCCTCCTCAAAGAAGTGTGACTATTCCTTCACTCTGGGTGTATACACTGGCCTCCAAGCATCTAGTATAGAGAAGGGATAGTAACTTTATTTTGAAGACAATAACGTCTGACAAACACTACCTCGGCCAGCCCAGAAAGGTCAACACTGACAGTAGTGGGGTGTTTTGAAAGTAGGTATCCTTGACAAGCCATGGTGAAAATTTGTCTACCTCCGTAGTCTTCCCCAAGTCCATAACTCAGTTTAATCGTGACAAGTGCACCAGACAAATTCCATTATTTTACAAAACAACTGACAAGTAGTCACTGAAAACATCAGGGTTTTAAAAATAAATGTGTGAGAAATGGTCACAATCCAGAGGCGCCAAGGAAACATGATGACTAAATGTGATGCGTTGTTCTGGACAGGATCTCAGAACAGATAGAAAACAACAGATAAAAACTAAGGGACCCTAAGGGCTAAGCAGATGATGGCTCTGTGGGTAAAAGCACTAGTTACACAAGCATGAGGACATGAGTTCAAATCACCTCTGTAAAAGGCCAGTCTGTACATGCCTGTAACGCAGTGCTGTGCGTGATGGAAACAGGGTTGCTGGGACGTGTTGGCCTCCGGCCTAGCTCTAGGTTCTGTGAGAGAACATGTCTGAGGGAATAAGGTGGAGAATGAACGTGATATCTGGCAAGCACGTCTAGCCTCTGGAGAAAGGTGTCCTCTGGCTTCCACTTCTGTCCTGTGGCTTGCGTGCACCCTCACACCACCACCCCACCACCCCTTCATACACAGAACAATAATTCATTTTAAATTAAAATGTAAAAAAATACCATAAATAGGTTAGATGGAGTGATGCATGCCTGAGATCCAGCACTTGGGATGTAGGTGCAGAAGGATCTCAAGTTTGAGGCCAGTCTGGGTTACATAGTAAGACCCTGTATCCAAAAGCAAACAAACAAACAAACAAAACCCCAATCCACAGGATAATAAGGGAATAGATGTAGGTGCAGAAGGATCTCAAGTTTGAGGCCAGTCTGGGTTACATAGTAAGACCCTGTATCCAAAAACAAACAAACAAACAAACAAACAAACAAAAAAAAAAAAAACCCCAATCCACAGGATAATAAGGGAATAGAAAGAGAGAAACAGAAAGAGTACTAAGATGCCAGACTCCACGCTTAACATACTGACAATTACCTTTGTGACTTTGTATTCTCCCAAAATGGACATTGAAGTCCTAACCTCCAAACTTTTAAAAGGGACCCTATGGGGAAATAGTCTTTGCAGATGTAGTCAAGTTACAGTGAAGCCACTACAGGGCTGGAGAAATGTCTCTTTGATTAAGAGCACTTGTTGCTTTTGTAGATGACCCAGGTTCAGTTCCCAGCACTTGTATAGTGGTTCCCAACAATCTCTAACTTCAGTTCCAGGGGATCCCTGCCCCCTTCTGATCTCCACTCACACCAGGCCCACATGAGGTGTACATATATACATGCAGGTAACACACACACACACACACACACACACACACAATTAAAAAATAAAATAAAGTTTTAACAAAGCCCTAATGTAACAAAGTTGATTTCTTCATGAGAAGATGGAAATGTGACGAGACTCATAGAGACAGGGGACTGCCATGTGAAGACACATGCAGAGGAAAGATGGCCCAGTGAGAACAACGCAGCTAAGCTGCTGCAAGTCAGGGGACCTGGGGCTATCCCACCAGAAGCTGGATCAGGCAAAGAAAAGTAAGTATTCCTTTAGAGGCTCTGGGAAGAGCACAGTCCCGCCCACAATTCAGGCTCCCAACTGTGACACAACAAATTTTTATCATTTTATGGCTCTAATCACAGCAACCTTAGGACAGTAATGCAATTACCTAAAATGCAAATGGCCTGATTAAAATACAGTTATTGATAGACTAAATTTAAAAAAAAAATCACAAGCCAAATATGCCATTTGCTGGAAAGTCACTTTAAATGTAATATAGCTAGTTTGAAAAAGAGAGGTTAACTGGGTATATAATGACCTAGAGTTCATCCACTGCAGTATGGTCAGCTGAAGAAATCAAGTTGCAGGGTATTTTACATGCATGTATAAAAGAACTAACCTCATTTTTATAACGAAATATCCATTATTGGGGCTGGAGAGACGGCTCAGCAATTAAGAGAGCACTTGGTTGCTCCTGCAGAGGACCCAGGTTCATTTCTCAGCACCCAGGCAGCTCATTACTAGATGTCAATATCTCCAGCATGGATGACCACTTGCACTCACATGCACATACCACATACAGGCACACACAAGCACATAAATAAAAAATGAAGTAAATCTTTAAGAAAGAAAATATCCATTATCAAAATCACATTCTGTTTACATCTGCATACACACACTCATAAAGGCTATGTAAAAGGCCATAGGCATTAGTCCCTCAGTGTTACAAGTGGGCAACAGGAGGGTGTGCAAGGGGAGACATCATGATGATGGTGGCAATTATGGTTATTATTGCTTTGCAAACAGGAGCACTCTAGCCATTTTTTTTTTTTGAGAAGACAAGGACTTATTGTGTAAAGTAGGCTGCCTGGAGCTTGCAGCAAAATCCTCTTACCCATCTCCTGAGTTCTGGAATTGCAGGCATGTGCCACCATGA